CCACAGGACTGTACTCAGGGCTATCTGTTTTCGTGACAGGGTACATCGATCGTTAGAACATTATTCAGAGCCTTCGGTGTCAGAATCAATTATATATATATGACGAATCTTTTGGTTTACATTCGTTTCTCGATTATAGCTTATTAACATTGAATGTCACGACTGGGATTATTGTGTTATTATTGGTTCACAGACGAACGTGATCACTGGTACCGCTTATTACTGTTGATTATTTTATACAGTTGCATTGCATTGTAATTTGTACTATTAGTATTGCTTGTCAAAATGTTAAGTTTACCTTTTGTAGTAATGTGTTTGCTTCAGTCAGGAACTGAGCAATGAGAATCACAATAATTTGTCTAATTGGTATTAAAAATAATACCTGAAGCCTGGTATAGGTTGTTTTGTTGGAGTAGACGAGTATGCGCTGAGCCTTTTGACTTCCAATTTCAAGATTTCCGGTCATGTTAGCAACATTTAGGTAATTGTATTTGTGAAAAAGACAATTTTAGAGCAAAATGTCAACGTCGATCTTTTTTTAGTCCTAATTTGCAACTGGCTGCGGATCACTCCCATCCATTCCCAGATTTGTACCCCCCCAAATGAGCTAAGGACACACTATTAACTTCCAATAGAATATTTCTTATCGGACATGCTTGAATTTTCCTATGATTCCACGAAGAATGAAGGTCATTTTAATAGAATGTATGTCGCAACTTTCATATAAATTGCGCCATCTAGTGAAAAAGCGCTTATATGACGTAGGCCGTTCAAATAAAACAAACGATTTTTAGCGTTCATTAATGAAGCTCATGAATTTTAAAGATTTTACTATATTCTAGTTAACGAACGACTACAAAGCCAAACAGAGTGGTCGATTTGAACATTGCCTCCACCCGTATCCTCGGGGGCGGACATCCGGGCATTTTCACCGCCTGGCAACCCGCGGCGGTGAAAACAAAGGTCCAAAACTCGCAGAAAACGGTACTTAGGGATGATTGTTGAGACTCCCCTGAACAGTGTAACAAGATTAGCCCTACGTGTGTAACATATATAAATTTGTTTTTTCACGATTACTTCAAAGTTGAGTTTGTGTTGTTTTCTCGAATTTTCACCGGATCGACCGGCGTTCCACAGCAGCGCGCACATAGCCCATAGAAATGCATGTACAGTGGTGCGCGTCTTAGCAACGTGGAACGTCCGTGACGTAGCTCCGCCCCCGAGGATACATGAACAGACAGTTGTCTTAGCTTAGATGAGCGAGTCTCGCTTGAAACAGTGACATCCAACG